GAAGAGGATGGTCGTGGTTTCCCTCGTATGTCATTATCGATATTGACGCATCCTCTGCAGATCTTTGCACCTACATTCGTACAAACACGCGAAAATTTGTGTCACGTCCTAATCCAAAAGTAGATAGCTCGATTTATTGTTATCATTTTTCAATTCTAAGTTCACTGTTTTTTATGAATACATATATACACCTATGTATGTATAGAGAAATGGGTTTCTGTATACGAAGCTATAAATATATCGACTAATGTATTATAGGGTTTAGTATATAGAGATAACATGTAGGAAACCCTAGATTAAACCCTAGTGCCTTAACATGTGTGTATGGATAAGTATTATATAATACCTGTTTTCTGACGGGACAACTTGGGGACATGGTACAACGGTAGTAGGCTCTCGGGCGTGGATTACCTTTCGCAGTCTTCTGCCCGTATTTTCTCCATTGGCATCCGTCATTCACCTATACATACACACACACACATTTTATATATTTGGTCAACAAAACAATATCAAACGTGTTTATATATATGTGTGTATATGTACCGATGGGCCTTCGCATCTAGCTCTCACACAAACCCTAGTTCTCTTTAAACCGAGTTCTTGTTCTTGATGCTGTTCAAAAACCTTTTCTCTATCTTGATGATGATCTTCACTTGTCATGGTTTTCAAAACTTTCCTTGACGGCGATAGATTCTCTCCCTTTTCGTCGTCCGGATCATTCAGCGCCGATTCATCACGTTTTCGGATCACATGACGATCATTGGCCCCAAACCCTAAACCCAACTCAAGTTTCTCCTCTGATCTCTCTTTCGCTTGCACCATGTTCTTGTTCCGGCATTCTCTGTCTTTGCTTTTGTCTGAATCTGAACCGAGGCAAAGAGAGATATCGACGTGATTATGGTCGTATTTAGCTTCGAGTTCTTGCAGTTGTTTCCCCGAAGCTTCTTCTCGTTCTTGTCCGAGAAGGCCGATGACATGGGTTTGGAGAGAATTGTAGTCACTGAGTATCTTGGAGAGTAATAGTTTCAGCCTCTTGTTTTCTTCTCGAACTTCCCCTACCTTTGCTCTGGCTGATTCAAGCTCCTCTTCCTGTTTACATTTAATCCACCACGTTTTTATTTTATTTTGCTTCAACTTCTTATTCCACTTTTTTTTTTGGTGTTCGAATGTGCAAATTATCATTCAATCAAAATGACCAAACACGAAGTTCAAATAATAAATGTCCCAAAAAAAGCTGTCTTGATAGAATAAGGTAATTCAGGTGGCATATATATATTCAGGTGGACATATATATTACCATAATATTTTCCTTGATTTCTGTAACCAATAAAAATTTGTATTCCTCCCTAATGATTGTCTATACATGTATAATACAATATGAACTTCGCGATGCTGCTGCTATATATATATATATATCGTTTCTTTTCATACGATTAAACAGTTTGATACGGTTAATTACTTTGATGGAATTTGAATTAACCTGCTTGAGAATTACCATATTCGATTTTGGTGCGTATTTCTGAACCTTACAAAGATTAAAATCATATGTATATGCCTAATTCCATTTACACACACATGCATATAAAACATGTATGTATAGGTCTAACATAATAACTACGACCCATGTTTACATACAAAATCTGAAGAAAAAAAAAACGTGAAGATCTCCGAAGTAACGAGATGGCTAATTAACAAATACAAAGGAATGAAATTTACCTTTTCGGATCCACCAAGACGGATACATGAATTGTTTTCGTCTTTGATCATATTATATATTATGATCAATTGCAATCAGCGACCTTGATGTATGTATGTATGTATGTGGCCAAATATCTCGATAGAAAGAGATGACTTCTCTGCTTTTTTTTTTTTTTGACAAAGTTTTGGCTATTCCTTTTATTTCTTCAATGGCTGAGCTTCTTATAAAGAGCCTAAAGACTTTGACTTTTTTATATTTTAATAAACATTTTAAAAAGAAATAAATAATTAAGAAAGAGCATAGCGACCCAGTGATTATCTTTAGCATGTTATTGAATAGATCCAAAACCCATACAATGACCGAGTGTTTTCTTTTTCAATGTATATGTTATCACTACTGCGAGTATATTCGACGAATACTATATATATATATATATATATATATATATATATATCAAAACACTCGTAATATATATATAGAGGTGAGATATTTTCTTAAACGAGTATGGTGGGTGGGATAATATATATTTTTATATAATTTATTTCCTTTTGTCAACGATAATTTGTAGTTTCTTTCTAATATCTTGAACTTGCATGGCAGGAAGAGCATTTCGGCCGCCCCTCATATTGACCGTACGAGGCAATTTGCGGGCTCCAATTTTCTCGTTCCCAACCAATGAATGGCCGCCACGTCATCTATTTGGTATTGGAGAAAAGGACCATTGACTTAGCATGATCGCAGTCCATGGAAGGTTCATTTTGAATAGTACGCTTCTTTTATGGTCAGTCCAATAATGCTAAAATATCCATTTAGATAACGATACGTCATTAGAGTTACGTACACATTTCAAAATATTTTAATTAATCTTCCTACCCACCACGCAAAATGCTCCTCTAATTCAATCTCTACAAAAAAAAAATATCGGTTTGGTTATAAATTTTCACCAATCAATACATGGACCGACATTGATATAATTAATAAAAAAAATGGACCGAAGCTCTCGGTTCCTTGGGCCACCACGGGGCTACATCTACATGCATGTTGTCGTCATTACAATCTAGTGGCATTTAACAAGGATATTAACAAATGATAATAGGAACATTACAGGTCAATGACCTATTAGATCGTGCTTGAGAATCTATCTATCCAATAATTACTTTTGAAAAATATAAATAATAACCTCGTCAACTCTCTCCCCTCTCTGTCTCTAACGTGACATGGACGAAACATCATATAAAATCTCTTATAAAGTACAATCTAAATTCGAAACCATTATTTGGCAAATATTCAAATTCGATATCTGCTAAAACCCATCAGAGAAATGGGTGTTTTGGATCGATTCAGATCATTAACCAGAATTTAAAACATGTAAATATAATGGTTTTTGAAATTAAGGTCGGAAATTATGTTTTTTTCCCTATGGACAGATGGATTAAAAGGGTCAAAGTCAACGACAACCAAAGATGAGTAGTTGATTATGTTCTTGGCTGGTTCTTAAAAAAAAACAAAGCAAGAACAATGTCTTTGGAGAGGCTCTTTAATACAAAACTGGCCGGAAAAGCCTACGAGAGAGCCACATGACAAACCAAACCGATCATCCTCTCCTAGATTCCAGTTCGAGTGATTTTTCCATTTAGCACAAAACATACAAGGATAAGATTTTTTTTTTCTTTCAAAGATCCATGATTTGTGGAACTCTACCTGTTCCATTCATAGTCTCCACCACCATAACTGGGCGAGGCATTGTTCGTGTGGTTGGCGTCCTCTAGCTTGGTGGAGCTCGCAAAGGCATGCCAACCCATCAGGTAGGGCAAGATGAACTGTCAAGAAAACATATCAATGAAGCAAATGTACAATGGGAGATGGAGTGGAGATGATCACCTTTGTCTAAAACATGAGCAGAGAATAGAGAGAGGGAGAGAGAGATTATACGTTGAAGGCTGAGACCAGAACGGCGAGCTCTGCTCTGGTAACAGGAATGTAAATGCTCTCGTCCACATTCAGCAACTTGTTTTGAACACCTAGTCCAATTCACAAGACAAAAAAGGGATTCATGCTCATAAATTAGCTCCAGTTGCTTATGAACCAACCCTAGATAGTAACAACATTTTAGCTTTTGCAAACTCGATCACAGAAAAGTATTGATACAACCCATAGGCACAAACTCGATATTTCAGTGTTCATAAGCACGTGAACATGTCTACTTGGGTGGAAAATAACACATGTTCCACAAAAATTTGACCAGATGAAGGATCAAAATCATAAATAACACTAACTGAATCTCCACAAAACTATGAGCTTGCTGTTAAAAGTTATTCAGGGATAAGAGTGTTACTGAGGTTAAAGAAGTGGCCAGAGCCATCAGCAAGCGGTTCAATCTTCAACACCTTTCGCACTTTTCCTTCATCACTGAAAGTTACAAGACGAATTAAGGTTTCAAAGTAGTGAGATATCTTATAAAGGAGAGTTTTTCTTGGACACATGACAACAAAATTGAATGACTCTGTAGTTCAAACGCAAGGTAAACATGTGTTATCCCCTTAACATATTCCCTGTTTTGCCCTTGATCAATCTTGGCAGAAGGAACACAAGGCTGTACCTTCTTCCCTTGTTAGGATCATGGAAAAATTCACACGAGTCTTTTGGACCAAGACTAACGAGATTTCCAATTTCTGCTACTGACAGGGAGAAGACCTGAGCATTCGAAATCGACGTATAAAAAACAGATGAAACACAGTTGGTAGGGAAGCATATCCTAGAAAACAAAGCCTCGAAAGCACGAGACAAGAATACAGAGTGGAATCCATAAAACACAGAAGAACTTTAAGATCAACAAAGTTCAAGAACCTCTGTCAGTGTCAGAAAAGCTCAGAAGGAGCAAACTGTTTAAAAAAACTAACCTGTTTTCTGCTCCAATCATACTGTCGAACACCGGCAGCAGGAGCAAATTCTAAGAGCACAAACCCTTCCTTGGATAACTTGAATGCTCCCGACTGAAACCCAGAAAACAAAGCAGATTGAGAAAAACACAACAGAAAACGTTCTAAGTTCTTCTCAAAGGTTAAAAAGCGAAGAACATGCAGAGTTAGAAACATACATCTAAACAGACAAACTCCGGTGATCTTGGTTGAACTGTAAGAGCAGCTTTCCCTTTATATATCGTATGCCCGACAAAAACCCGAAAGGGCGATGCTCCTGTCACAAGTAAATCGACTCCTATTTTACCCCCACTGTTCGTACAAAGCAAGAAACTTCTTTCGTCAACCCATTTCTCTAAAATCCTGAACAGAGTAATTCTAAGCCCGGGTCTGTTTGGCTACCAGGAAAACACAAGGAGATTTCTAACTGACGGTCACTTAAGATGGAAAGTCTGAACAAGCAGAACACTGGACAGGACAGAATGTGGAATCGTGCGAAAGAACGAGAAGATTCTTCGGTGGAAAGTCTGAACAAGCAGAACACTGGACAGGACAGAATGTGGAACCGTACGCGAACCAAATGCTCACCTGAGGTTTCAGCGGAAGTACTGTAATCGCTAAACCTGGGTCGGTCGACATAATCCGATTGGCGGCATTTCACGGCTTGCTTCTTCTTCTTCATCTTCTTCCTATTATCTCCCAGGCAGACGCCATGGCATTCCAAACCAACCGAGCTCGGCGAAAGGAATGCGGAGTGGTTGGCGTTAGGGTTTATGGTCTTGGTGCGCAGAAGAGGAAAAGCTAGGGCTTGCAGTTGCAGCGACATGGCTTCGTCTTTTTCTCTCTCAGCTTTCCAAGTTTCACCTTTTCAATTCCGCTCTTCGGTGCATAAATCCCCTGCTTCGCTGTCCACAATAACACGTATCTGTCAAAGAATCCAAGGCTCGAACTTCAAATTAAACTGAATAAAAAATAATTTAAAATTAGATTTTTAAAAAAATAAGTGTCGAACTTCAACCGAATAAAATTAGATCGAATGAAATCAAGTTCAATAAAAAAAAAAACTGAATATTATAGTTTTTCAAAGGAAACGGAATATACAAAAGCCCAAAACTCGGATTATGACACGTGGTGGCACTACAGACCCCAGATCGACAGGCGAGCATGAGGCAGCCACGATTATACGGCGACAGTCAAGGCGGTTGAACTTTGACCTGAAACGACGCCGTATAGTGAACACATCACTAGCACCTCTCTGTAACCTACGAAACTGGAAAAAAAGGAAAAAAAGGAAAAAAAGTAAACAAAAAAAATAAAAGCATAACTTCTCCGCAATCCCTAATTTCGACTCCACCGGTACGGAAGCTCAACTCGTCGGCGGCGCGAACGAATTGTCGGAGCTATGGCGATGCAGACAGGAGTTGGTTTGTCGAAGATCTTGCTCTTGGCCGGAGCAGGTATTCGTGTCTGATTTCTCCTCCTTGATCGGTCTCGATTTCTAGCTCAGTGTCGTGTGCGTGTGCGTGAGTGTCGTGACTGCTCTGGGATCTGTATATCTTGATACGACGTTTTCTGTTTGGTTGAATTAAGGTTATACTGGTACGATAATGATGAAGAACGGGAAGTTGTCGGATTTGATTGGTGAATTACAGGTACTGTTGTTAGTTTCTTTGCCAGTTCCCGTCTTTTTGTAGCGATTTTGTGATTTTGGAGATTTTCGGCTTTTTGATGGATTTTTGGCATATACTACTTCTGCGTAGGCTTTGGTGAAGGGGCTAGAGAGGTCTGCAGAAGGATCTGAGGGAGATTCTGATGTTTCCGATGCCATAGCTGCTCAGGTACCCTTGCTTAATGTGTATTCTTTGTTGCTTCTGACTTCTGAGTACCATTGGACTTTTAATCAACGTTCATATGCCATAAATCATAAATTTGGTGAGAATTCACAATGATTTTGGTTCAATTGTGTGATGGTTTGAAGGTTCGCCGCTTGGCTATGGAGGTTCGGCAGCTGGCCTCATCCCGGCAGATAACTGTCATGAACGGAACATCAGCTGGTATGTAAAAAGCTTGGAAATTTTGCTTCTTTTTTATATAGTCTACTGAATTTGCAGCAAGAAGTTAGTTTCTTTTGCACGTAGAGAATATTTTTCGTCATTTGGTCTCATGTGATGCTTTCAGGCAATTTACAATCCCTCGCTGTTCCGGCTGCTGCATTGGGGGCTTTAGGCTATGGCTATATGTGGTGGAAGGTGTGATTGAATTCCAATTTTTTTTTGTTTCAATAGATTCTGTTTCTTTTCCATCGCGAATCTCAAAAGGGATTTCAAGGCACTAAGGTTTATCTTTTCTCACTCGTCAGGGACTTTCCTTCTCCGACCTTATGTATGTGACAAAATGCAACATGGCAAGTGCTGTGACAAACTTGACAAAGCATCTTGAACAAGTATCAGAGACTCTTGTGGTGAGTTTTTTTTTTCTTCTTTTGCCTTGCATTTGGTGTTTCCTTAGAAACGTTATCCATTGTATTTTTTCAACTATGTATGTATATAAACTACATGCTAACATCTTATTGTTTTTTGCTTGATTTTTTAGGCTGCAAAAAGGCATTTGACACAACGTATTCAGAACTTGGATGATAAGATGGACAAGCAGAATGAGCTCTCTAAAACAATTCAAGAAGATGTAAGATGATGCTTGTTTCACCTTTCTGTCTGAATTAGGGTTTTATCATTAGAATTTTGTAGTCTATTGCACATTTCTGGAGTGATGAAATGACCATGTCGTCAATGTTGAACAGGTTGCTTTGGCTCGCGAGGATATATGTTCAATTGAAGGGGAGTTGGAATCATTGCATAACTTGATTAATGGACTGGTGAGACTTTAGCGCTTTCATCTGGTTAAGCCATACATTGACAATGTCCCTACCATATTTGTTGGCTTGTGGCTTGCTGTGTCCATCTTGATCTACTTTTGATTATACGGGTAAACTTTTTAGTCTTTGAGATGAGTCAAGAATCAATTAGGAAAATGATTAAATGTTCCACTCTCCTGGCTTGGCTCTCTGATGTTTAAACAACTAGAGAACCCATCAGCACTATCGGATTCATCTAAGCGAGTTTTACCGCTTCTAACTTTGTCGGAATTCGACTTTTTGCAGGATGGCAAGCTGGACACACTCGAATACAAGCAGGTACATTTATGTCCACACCTGTCATCATCTGAACCTCTGAAAGTTTATCTTCACAAAAATTAAGTTGTTAGCATATGAATTTGCCGCTGTATTTGTATGCTAAGAAGTAAAATCACCATCTATCATGGTTGTGCTAACTCAGTGCTTTCTTTTTCCTGGTGACAGGATTTCACAAATATGTGTGTGGTACGCTTGTACAACTATTTTGGTGGCAAGAGTGAAAAACTGCCCGAAGTTATCATGCAGGTAGGGGAGGGGGGGGATCTTTTTGTTGAATTTCGGAAATTTTATACGAGATTCCCTATTCTTTTGCATTCATTCCTCTGGTATTATATAATATCCCCTTTTGATATTTGTGGAGGAGTTTGCGTAGGTAGGTTTTGTACTTGCTTCATCTTACAGTACAGAATAATTAACTTTAACTTCATATTAACAGGAAAAGCTTCAACTTCCTGTTAACAAGGCTCGGAATTTGCTCACTGATGTGGAATCAAAGGTATATAGATACACATGCATACTCCTTCATGTCTTTTTGAATATTCACTCTACCCTCTGGAGATCAGTGAATCATATTTCGAAAAGTGTGTGCCTTTACTTATGACAATATCTCTTTTTGTGTGTCGTTAGGGTCTGAAGGACTTTGCAGATGAACTTTTTGAAAGCACAAATCAAACTGGAGTAAAATCCATAAAGCAAGGCCCCGTCAGTGAGAGACCAAGACCATTATCAAGGTATAAACACAGATTCATTTGCAAATAAAACCCTTATTTCTGTTTTGTGTTGAGGCAGTGCCAAATAGTAGACTCTGTGGTTGACAGGGTTGCATCAGGTCGGTGCTGAGATGGAAAGGCTCTTGACGGGCGTTTTGGTTGGAAGATTTATTATGTATAGCTTACATGCAGAGCAAATGTCTTGATGAGACCGTGAAGCCATTTTTTTTTTCATTCTTGTTTTTCTTTTCCAATGTTGGTTTCATCTCGGAGCTTCATGATGTTTCCTCTTTCTCTTTTTAATGATATTCTAATTTGCTCTGCTTTTTTACCTCTCAATTGGTTAGTTTTGTTACTGACACGGCAAGGGTGTGTAACAGGAAATCCAGAATAAAAGCACCTGAAAAACTCTTCATTACATTGCTGTTTATTTATATATATATGTGTATATATATATATATATATATATAGAGAGAGAGAGAGAGAGTAGAGATACTCCATGGTAAGGGAAACATTAATATGCAACTCAACGAAAAAACAAGAAAGGTTTGGAGATAACGATGAATAACATGTTTTTTTTTTATATACGACAACTATACAGGTTCTGAAAATAGCAATTACAACAACATGAATACGAACCATATACACGGGGTAAAAATCGGCACATCTTTACCAGGGGAGAGTAAGTCACCAACGTACATTACATTTCCAGATTAGATGGATAGTGCCACTATCAACTTCAATTTTAATCAGATGATTCAAGTCAATTTCGTACGGCACAATCTGGACAGATGGAGTGGTATTTATATATAATAATATATTATATAAACCAGGCGATGGAGTCCTCCTGGTATACGAAACAAAAGTATATAGTGTACATATGTGTGTGTATATGTGGGGGGGGGGG